TCTCAAAGTGGGTACCATGTGGCTTGTACCTTTATCCTTAGTCCTCCAGCATTTATTTTCCAAGAGAGAATAGTTGTTTTCAAATTCAAGAAATTCCATATTGATATGCTACTTTTTAATATTCTATAATCCATATTCCAGTTTTAGCATTTAATCTGTTATAAGTAACTGATTAAGAACTAAATTTTGCTTTACAACAGCATTTCTCCCCTGCTCTAGATCTTTCTTCAGTGAGTTTTTCCTCCTCTCTCCTTGCCTGGCCTTTTTGGGGGGCAGGGGAGGGATTGAGAACTGGGCATTAAACTCAGGGGTATTCCACCACTGAGCCACATCTTCAGCCCTACTTTGTATTTTATCTAGAGATAGGGTCTCACTGAGTTGCTTAGTGCCTCACTTTTGCTGAGGCTGGCTTTGAACTCGTGATCCTCCTGCTTCAGCCTCCTGAGCCACTGGGATTACAGGCGTATACCACCACACCCAGCTATTTATTGTTTTAAAACGCTTTATTAAGATGAGAATTGTGGGGCTGGGGATGTGGCTCAAGCGGTATCGCGCTTGCCTGGCATGTGTGTGGCCTGGGTTCGATCCTCAGCTTTAGGCAGCAGCAGAAGACCCATCTGTTCATTTTAAGAAAAAAAAAGAAAAAGAAAAAGTTCAGTCTAGCTGTTGTTAGTATGTTCAGTTTTGTACAGCCATGACCATTATTTAATTTTAGAGCTTAATATAAAATCCTTTACCTGTTTGCAACCCTCCCATCTCTTGCCCCAGCCCCAGGTAACCAAATGCTAGTCTGCTGTCTGTCTATAGATTTGTTTCTCCTGACATTCATATGATGTATGTTGGCTTCGTGGGTCTGGCTTTTTCATCTAGCTGAATGTTTTTTGAGGTTCATCCTTACTGTAGCACATATCAGTATTTCCTTCCTCTCTACTATTGAAGTATGTTCCATTGTATGGTCAGGTCTTATTCTAAACTCATTGCTTTGACCTTCCTCAGATGCCATGGAGAAAAAAATGAAATATCCACTGCACTAGTGTGAGATGTGTTCCCTGGTCTAGATGTAGCAGTGTAGAGCAGAGTTTGCACCAAAGGGTTTAGTCTGGGCCACACTATTGAGTGTCCTGACATCACTGCCTACCAGTAAAGAAAGATTTTATGATTAGAAAATGAGATTGCAGTCTCTAATTTTTTTTAAGTAATTGGATTACATAAATTGAACTGAGGTCTCTCACTATTTTTTTAAATAATTATTATTTATATACCATGAAATTTGTCCTTTTAAAGTCTGCTGATCAGTAAGCTTTAGTATATTGAGTTAGGTGACCACTACCACTATGTAATTCCAGAATATTTAAAAAAGAAATATGTATCCATTAGCAGTATCCCTCCATCCCTACCCCAATTTCCTGGCAACTGCTAATTTAGTTCATGTCTCTAGGGATAAATATTTTATTCCTTTCTTTTTTTTTTTTGAGAGGGAGAGAGAGAGAATTTTAATATTTATTTTTTAGTATTTGGCGGACACAACACATCTTTGTTTGTATGTGGTGCTAAGGATCGAACCCGGGCCACGCACATGCCAGGCAAGCTACCACTTGAGCCACATCCCTAGCCCCATATTTTATTCCTTTCGATGCTACTGTAAATGGAACTGGGATTTTTTGGTTGGTTGGTTGTTGTTTTAGGACAGATCCCACTGTGTTACCCAGTTGGCCTCAAACTCCTGGGCTCAAATGATCCTTCTGCCTTAGCCTCCAAACTAGCCAGTGCTACAGGCAGGTACCACTGTACCCAGCATCGAATTGTTTTTTTAATTTTGTTTCAAAGTGCTCCTGTGTAGAAAAACAGCTGATTTTTCTCATACAGATCTCATACCCTGTAACCTTGCAGCACTTATTTATTAGCTATATTACTTTTTTTAGTGGATTCCCTAGTATTTTTAAAATATGTTTTATAACTTTATTTTATTTACTTATTTTTTTGTTTAGTGATAAGGATCAAACCCAGGGCCTTACCCATGCTAGGCAAGCGCTCTACCACCAAGCTACAGCCCCAGCCAGCCCCCCCCCCCCCGTATTTTTTTTAAATATTTTTAGTTATAGCTGGACAGAATGCATATATTTTATTTATTTATTTTAAAGAGAGAGAATTTTTTTTTTAATATTTATTTTTCAGTTTTGGGTGGATACAACATCTTTATTTTATATGGTGCTGAGGATCGAACCCAGCGCCCCATGCTCATGCCAGGCGAGTGCGTTACCGCTTGAGCCACATCCCCAGCCCCAACATATATTTTATTTATAAGATTCTTCTGTCCATAAATAGAGTTTTACTTTTTTCTTTTTAATCCAAATAACCTTTTTCTTATTTAATTGCTAGCTTCCTATTTTTAGGAAAGATTTTAAGGTATAAATATTTAGTTTAAGCAGTTGAAATATTTTGTGAACATCTAAAAATTAGGAGAGAAACCAAGGTTCACCATTTGGTTGATTGGTTCATCGAGGGGATCTAGAGCATGAAAAGTGACCTGAGGAAGGAGAAAAGCTGCTGGTGAACAGGACTTGAACACAGTTCATGTGCCATGAGCAGACATCAGCCTAACCACTCTTGCACCAAAAATTTCTGCTTGGTTTTGAGGAAATGGAAATATGGAAGTGGTAAAGATAGAGTTAACACTTCACTGTTGGCATAGAAGTAAAAATATCTTTTTATCATACCTTCAGCGTGTCATAATGAAGGTAAAACATTGCGTGTAACCCTTTGACTAGGATATGATTATTTGTGAACTGGTTCAACATAGAACACTGTCGAATTGAAGGTACTAGAAGAAAAGATTAATGGGGCATGGTGTTGTACACCTGTAAACCCAGCTGTTCGGGAGACTTAGACAGGAGGATTTCAAGTTTGAGGCCAGCCTGGGAAACTTAAGGAGACTGTGTCTCAAAATAAGAAATAGGGCTGGAAATATAGCTCAGTGGTAGATTATTCCCAGATTCAGTCCTGAGTGTGTGTGTGTGTGTGTGTGTGTGTGTGTGTGTGTGTGTGTACTCAGAAAGGAGAATAAATTAGAGAAGACCATTAATAAAAATAAGGTAAATTCTATTGGATTGAGCCATTGAAATGAATAAATTTAACCAACTTGAATTACCATATTTGAGTAGGAAAATGTCTAAGAATGTTCTATACCATTTTAGGGTTTTCTGTGTTTCTTTTAATCAGAAATCGAATTAACTTTTTTAAAACATATTGGCAAGGTTGTGGAGAAATTAGAAGCCTTAGGCGTTGCTCTTAGGCATGTGTGATAGCACAGACCCTGTGGAAAACAGCATGGTAGCTCCTCAAAACCTAGAATGACCCTGTGACCCAGCAATTCTGTTAGTATAAATCCAAAAGTATTAAAAACAGGATTTTGAACAGATACCGTATTTGTACACCTGTCTTCATAGCAGCATTACTCACAGTAGCCAGAAAGTAGAAGGCGCTCTGGTGTCTACTAATGAATGAATGGATGAGTAAAATGTGGTGTATATAACAATAGAAGGTCATCACACCTCTAAGGAGAAGGAAATTTTGATGCTAGGGCATAGATGACCCTCAAAATATGCCAGGTAAAATAAGCCAGTCACAAAAAGGAGACACACGTTATATAATTGCACTGGTGGGAGTGTCTGGAATGGTCAGATGCAGAGTCAAAGTGGAATGGCAGGTCAGAGAGGAGTGGGGGCAGGACTGTTTGGTAGGAAGTGTCAGCTGGAGATGTACTGGAGGTAGACAGGGGAGTTGTCCACAACAGTGTGCATGTCCTCAGTGCCACTGACCTGTCCACTTAAAAATGACCAAGATGGTAAATTTTGGGCTGGGGATGTGGCTCAAGCTGTAGAGCGCTTGCCTGGCATGCATGCAGCCTGGGTTCGATCCTCAGCACCACATACAAACAAAGATGTTGTGTCCGCGGAAAACTAAAAAATAAATATTAAAAAATTCTCTCTCTCTCTCTCTCTCTCTCTCTCTCTCTCTCTCTCTCTCTCTCTCAAAAAAAATTTAAAAAAAAAAGATGGTAAATTTTGTTATATATATTTGTACAATCTTGAAAAGAATGGTGGTGCATGCCTGTAATGCCAGCAGCTCAGGAGGCTGAGGCAGGAGGATCACAAATTTTTTTTTTTTTTTTTTAAAGAGAGTGAGAGAGGAGAGAGAATTTTTTTTTTAATATTTATTTTTTTTTTTAGTTTTCGGTGGATACAACATCTTTGTTTGTATGTGGTGCTGAGGATCGAACCCGGGCCGCATGCATGCCAGGCGAGCACGCTACCGCTTGAGCCACATCCCCAGCCCAGGAGGATCACAAATTCAAAGCCAGCATTAGCAACTTATCGAGGCCCTAAGCAACTCAGCCAGACCCTGTCTCTAAATAAAAATATAAAAGGTGGCTCAGAGATTAAGCACCCCTGGGTTCAATCCCCAATACCCCAAAATAATAAATAAGATTTATCATAGTATCATTTTGGGGACTCAAGAGGTTAGACTTTGGCTTTAAATAACCTTCACATATACCATGAAACTTGGTAGGCTTTTCTGTTCCTTCTGTCCTGTTTAGGGCTCTGCTACAATAGGCAATGATCTATAAGATAATGATGCTATAAATAAAGAGGTATTTCCAAAAGAAATACCACCCAGAGAAATCTCTGAGCTGTTCTTATGATTGAGGACACTTCCCTTTACCGGAGCTTTTCGTTATGTAGCACAAACCCTCAATATCTTGCTCCTGTGGAGCAGGGAAAAGGCTTGTTGAAAATATGTCCAGTGATTGCTTTTGCAGCAGGCTGTGTCAATGTGTTAGTGGAAATGGGACTCAGGGCCTACTCCTGCAGGTGTAGTGGAGTTGGGTAAGGGTTCCTTAACATTATATTATCTGAAGGAATGATGTGAAAGTTGACTTTTCACCATTTGGCACAGTCCTCCCATAAGGGGTATTAAAGGTATGTCTTTTTATTATTCAGGTCGATCTTGGAGAAGGAAGGACCAAAGTCACTCTTTAGAGGCTTGGGTCCAAATTTGGTTGGAGTGGCACCGTCAAGGTAAGCATTGAATTATGCGCTTGCTCCTAAGAGTAGTGTCCATGTTGGGCCTTTTTTGCCAGAGGGCCACACTGCTAACTGGCCAGTTTCGTTTTCTGTGTTGGATTCACCTAAATATATCTGACCTTCAGAGATGGTGATAGCTGTGATTGTGTTCTTTTGTGTGAGATAGAAATTCTGGTTATTTTATTAAGTAGAAAAACTAATTTGCTATCATCACCTATAATCTCCCTGAAGCTTTTGCTGTCCTAAGTGTGGTATGTGGTCACCATGTGGTGTTATCTGGGAGCTTGTGAGAAACCACACAGTCATGTCATCTCAGGGCACGCCCAGGCCTACAGCCTAGCAAGATCCCCAGATGATCATGTGCAGTTGGAAACATTGATCTGAAGGAACTGGAAAGGCACCCAGGCTTTACTTTTTAGGCAACATTTTATTCCATATAATTTAGAATAAGTGTTCCAGTGGGCCAAGGAGGGTAAAAACAGGGAATAATAGAAAAATAACTGGTTAACATCAGTTCTTTTTCATAAGAATTAAAGCAGAGGAAAGTTGACGATCACACCAGTTGAAACTGTCCCTTTTGGGAACGTTAACAGTTATCTAATCCTGATTTCTTGGAGGGACAGATAGTTTGGTGACAAGCAACTTCAACACAGGGACTCCACTGCTTTTGTCTGATCTCTTGGGGCCCAGGTAGGAATTTAGTCCAAAGTAGTGGCCTCCTGCAGTTTTTATTTTAACAGTAGTCTAGATCCTAAGATGAGTGGCTAGGGTTGTGGTCAGTGGTAGAGCGAGTACTTGCCTAGCATGCACGAGGCACTGGGTTTGATCCTCAGCACCACATAAATGTAAAACAAAGGTATTGTGTCCACCTAAAAAAGAAGATCCTAAGATGAAACTTAAATCCTATGATTGGATTATTAGCCAACAAGAAAAAGAAACATTTTGCCTGCATTACGGGGAAACTTCCAAGCAGCCTGTACTCCTGAGCCCCAGCAGCAAGGAGGACAGAGGAGAAGGACTGAGAAGACTGGAGCAAGGGACAGAAACACTGCGCTGGCCTTAGTATATTTTAGAAATGTTACAAGCTTTTAAAGTTAAAAGTCTATATTGCTGCTGTTAGCATTCATCCAGAATGAAGAACATAAAAGAACTTGGTAAACATATCACCAGATATCACTTTCCTCAATTGTTTTGGATACTCTGTCATCATTAAATAATTCTGGCAGGGCAAGCAAGAACTTTCTGAGCAGGTTTTGGTTTTAGCACAGGTGAGGTCATGGTTTTGGTTGTATATTTTCTCCCATATTATTTATTATGCCTCACATATATATTTTGTAGTGCCATAATGATTTCTTTATAGCATTCTCTCTTTGTTCTAACAGGGCTGTGTACTTTGCATGTTACTCCAAAGCCAAAGAGCAATTTAATGGCATTTTCGTGCCTAATAGCAATATTGTGCATATTTTCTCAGCTGGCTCTGCAGGTATGTTACCTAGTGAGTGAAATAAAAGCCTCTTGCTTCCTAAAGCATGTGTCCCCCCTAGCCCCCCAGAAATTCACTTCCTATTCTTTTTGACCCAAAATCATTTTCAAAAGCTTTATGGTAGAACTGATGGAATGATGTTTGAGAGTAGTTTGTAACTTGATTTCCTTTTCTTTGTCTGCTCAAGCTTTTTATTCTCCCTCAAAATTCACATGTTCTCCTGCATGCTGCCAGTCAGTGCTATTTTTTTAATGTTATTAGTGTGTTTTTCATGTCTTTCTGCTTTTCGCATTAAGTTGTTTCCTGAAATCAGAGCTGCTTTCTTTGTGACTCCCCAGGATCTGGCAGGCCCATCTGCCCTTAATACCTGGGTACACAGCGAGGGCTCAGGGCTATGGGGCAGTGTTTTCAGGACGGGTGACAGGTCAGAGAGCTTTTGTTCTCTTTTGAGCAAGTCATTCCACTCATTGTAGAACTTGGGGCAGGACTGTTCCTCAGGAAGTCCTATGCAGAAAGCATGGACTTGCAGATTGCCAAGAGAAAGTCTGTCTTTTTATACAGAGGCTTATGTCCACTTAAATTGAAACATATTTTAGAGAATTTAAATTGACATTTTATAAAAATTTCCACCTTGTGCCAGTCTGTGGGTATAAACACCAGTTTCATTTGCCTCTGTTACCCCAGTAAGTGTACTAGCAACCCATTTGAATATTTAGAGATTATGATTTTTAGACCCTGAATAGAAAACATTAAGCAGAGCTGCTTCACACAAGAGAAGCATTTCCACTTCGTGTGGAGCTCTGAGGAGGACATAGCATTCCAAATTAGGTCTATCTTCACTTAATGGGCCAGTAGTGAGTTAACCAGAAGCCAGAAGCTACTGGTTAGTTTTATGACTTGCAAAAATAACCCAGAACAGGTAAATAAAGCAGACCTTCAGGGAACTTTATAAGCAAGTGTCTTCCTAATAATTAATCTACTTAGGACTCTGGATGGCATGAGGTGTCAGAGGAGTTGGAACTAATACCACAGCCTGGCCTTTTTTTTGACTGATTTGAAAGATGAGCAAAGTTGAGTCCTCTAAGCAGATCAGTCTCAATAGTTCATTTCCTGAAATGATTCATCTGGCTTAAAATTTCTAAGTTTGAATTCAGGTGAAAAGGGATTGAATTCCTTTTTTCCAAATTAGATATAAGGTAACATTTGGATTACATTAGCAACTTCTTAAAAAAAATTCCTTGAGGATCTGAACCTTCTAAGTTGTGGGAATCACATTAGAAGAAAGGCCAGCAGCACCACCTAGGGGTGAGAGAGACCCAGCAGGCTCTAGGAAGCTGAGCGCTTTCTCGGGGTCCAGGAGTAGACACGGTACAGTTTAGAGACTGCGACTTCCATCTGCAGTACAGAGAGGTATCTGCCTCCGCCACCCAGTTCTGTTAAGCCACAGGATTCCTGGTTTCGCAAGCTGTGTATGGCATGGGCAACTTTGATAAGCACTGGCTCTGCCCAGTAATGACTTTATTTTGCTGTTCTTTTCTTCCAGCTTTTGTCACAAATTCCTTAATGAATCCTATATGGATGGTTAAAACTCGGATGCAGCTAGAGCGAAAGTAAGTTTTTGATTGTCCCTTCCTTAATGTAAGAATTTGGTGGGATTTTTCCTTCCCCAGTTCTAGCTATGGTGTTAGATGTAGGACTCTTCAGTCATCCCCCTTTTTTCCCCTCTCAATCTAAGCATGTGTAGAAATACTTTATATTTTGAGATTTGTGCTTGTAAGCATTGTGGGGAGAGGAGGGCCACAGAGATGGCAGAAGAAGATGGGAAGTGCTCTCAGGGCTATGTGCAGGCCCCACCAGGTTACATGCTGAGGGTCCTCTGGAGGCCTCACCTTCCAGGGGAGGAAGTTGAAAGAGCAGAACAGCACAAGCCTTCAGGCCCCAGAGGGAAGTTGAATAAGGCCCTCAGAAACACTCAGTTTGGGCCCTGAAATTCTAGCCAGGCATTGTTGTTGGCTTTGTTTTTGTTTGTTTGTTTTTGGTGCTGTGGATTCCTTTGGCATTCTGGGGAAACCTGTAGGCTCTTTTTAGAATAAAGTATTTTTAACACAATCATAAATAGTTATTAAAATACAATTAGCTGGGTACAGTGGCCTAAGACTGATCCCAGCAACCCAGGAGGCACATAACAAGGTGAGGAGGTCCGTCTTCTGAGGCAGCAAGGACACCCACCATCCTGAGAGCAGCCAGGTTACAGAAAAGGCTTGAGACAAGAAAGCACCTTGGTCAGAGGATGAAATCTCAGCAATTTAGCTTAAAACTCCTAATCAGGTCCATTTTATGATTCTAAAATTTATATCACTTTATTCCATAACACAGAATAACTGTTCCAGTGAATCAAGCAGAGGAGGGCTGTCTGTATAAGGCAATTCTAGTAACTCAGGAGGCTGAGGCAAAAGGATCACAAGTTCAAAGCCAGCCTCTGCCAATTGGGGAGGCCCTGAGCAACTTAGTGAGACCCTGGCTCAAAAAGGGCTAGGGATATGGCTCAGTGGTTAAGCGCCCTTGGATTCAATCCCCAGCACCAAAAAAAAAAAAAAAAGGACATAATAAAAAGAAGTTTGGCCAGAATTACTTTTCCTTGTAACATAGCAATTAGGAGACTGAACAATTAAAAACAACTGGTCAACATCAGTTCACTCTAAGTTACCTTTTTTGTAAAATGATTAAGACAGGGAACCAAGTTTAGAAATAATAGAATAAAAATATTCCATTCATGCATGAGGCCCTGGGTTCAGTCCTCAGTGCGTGTACAAAATAATACTCTGGAGCCTGGGGAAACCTTTGTATTTACCAGCCTGTCAGAATTTTGGTGAATTTTTCTTCCTTTCACACATTTCATGTGTGAATTTTGTCCTGCTTTCCACTTAAGCACCGTCCTGTGTCTTGCTGCACCTTGACTTTGAATCTGGTACTTGCCATCCCATTCTTAAATTTTTGGATTGTTTTGAGTGTATTGCAGTTGTGATTCCCCTGGGACGAGCATTATCCTCCATGGGCTCTTTATAGAATTAGGTCAGAGGCTGTGAACACAATTCTCCAGCCCTTAATATAGACCAACCACTCTGTGGGCCAATCAGGTGCCCCAGTGTGTTGAGCTGGCCTCACAGGGGGCCAAGGGTCAGCCGGCCACAGGACAGATTACAGATTTCTCTCTTGTGCATTTTCTCTGTACATTTGGCGAGCACCTTTGTGACCTGGTGCAGCGATCTCTCAGTCACTTGTCATTGGTTCTCCCCATGCAGAATAAGGGGCTCCAAGCAGATGAACACACTCCAGTGCGCTCGACACGTTTACCAGACAGAGGGCATCCGTGGCTTCTATAGAGGATTAACTGCCTCATATGCTGGAATCTCAGAAACTATCATCTGTTTTGCTATTTATGAAAGTTTAAAGAAGTATCTGAAAGAAGGTCCATTAGCCTCTTCCACAAGTGGAACTGAGAAAAATTCCACAAGTTTTTTTGGACTCATGGCAGCTGCTGCTCTTTCTAAGGGATGTGCCTCCTGCATTGCTTATCCACACGGTATGTTTTGCCTTTTACTTCCAGAGCAGTCAAGCAGTTGACAGGTTTGTCATTTGTCACTGTATCAGGACCTCCATAGCACAAACTGAAGTGCACATACAGGTTGAGTGTCCTTTGTCTGAAATGCTTATGATTAAAAGTGTTTCAGATTTGGGGATTTTCAGGTTTTGTAATGTGTGTGTAGGCTTTACCAGTTAAGCGTGCCTAATCTGGCCAACATGATGCACCAGAAGTTTCAGGCAGATTATTGGGTTGGGGGTGCTCACCCTATACCTACAGGTAAGGTGGGTGAGCACAAGTGGCCTTAGCTACTTTGGCAGAGATCAGGTCAGTGGTAGGAACTGCTTCATTCAGCTTCAGCTGATTGGGGCCAGAATGAGTCTTACTTAAAATTCCTTGATTGAAAATATTACGTGGGAGCCAAACTTAAAAATCACTCAGCTTCAGTTTGAGTGGAGTGATGAGTAAGGCTGCTTTGGGTAAGTTTAATTTTTAGCAATTTTGTTTGTCTTGGTGCTGGAGATGAAGGGCCTCATGAATGCTAAGTATGTGCTTTGCCTTTGAGCACTGCCCTCAGCTAATTTTATTTTTTAAAGAATTATAGAATTACTGTCCCACTGACATACTTTTTTAAAAAAGACCTTGGACAGTAGCAGACACCTCTGTAATCCCAGCTACTCCTTCACCTAAGGCAGGAGGATCACAAGTTTGAGCTGAGCCTGGGCAACTTGACAAGACCCTGTCTCAAATTTTTAAAAAGGCTGGGATGTGGCTTAGTGGTAGACCATTTGCTTGAGGCCCTGGGTTCTATCCCCAGTACCACAAAAACAAAACAAGCCCAACCACACTTAGTTTATCGTGCTGTGAGATACAGGCTGTTTCCCAAGCCTGCTGTACTGTCAGCACATGGTATCAAGTATTGGTGGCAGGTATCATGTTCCACCCTGTGCTGGGACACTACCAGGCGACCCAAAGGGATGATAGAGTAGAGGTCATCCAGGGTCTGAGTTCTGCACATCAGGTAGGAGTGACTAGTGTCTAGCTGTGGGTGCCTGGGGAGGAGGCCAAACCAGCAAAGTCTTGAAGAAGGAGGAAACGGCTTTTCAGCTGGACAGAGTGGAAAGGATTTGAGGAGGAGAAAGTTATGAAGGGGAGTAGGAGATGCGCTAAAAGGAATTTACCCTTTTTTTATCTAAGCTTGTGACTGTCCTGTCCAAATAGAACCAGGATGGCAGATAGACATAGCTGAACCTTCTCTCCATTTCATTTGTAGCCTAAAGCAGGTGTTTGTCTCTCTGCAGAGGTCATTAGAACTCGGCTCCGGGAGGAGGGCACCAAGTACAAGTCCTTCATCCAGACAGCGCGCCTGGTGTTCCGGGAGGAAGGCTACCTCGCCTTCTACAGAGGACTCTCAGCCCAGCTCATCAGGCAGATCCCAAACACTGCCATCGTGTTGTCCACCTATGAGTTAATTGTGTACCTGCTGGAGGACCGTGTGCAGTAGCAGGCCACACGCTGTGCTCTAGGAGAATAAAACTGAGAAACTAGAGATTTTTTTCCATTGATGTTTAGAGTGTCTGAGACTGAAACAGGAAAGGCCATAGAGCATCTGGCTCCTGTCACCTGCTGGACATTTCCTTTTGGATTCATGCTTTCTGGAAGGTTTAAATTCATTAACGTTAATAGTTAATTATAACTTTTTTTTTTTTAACTTAAGAGGATTCAGGATTAAGAGGCAACTAAATTAAATCATGCTATTTAATTTAAGTGTGCATTTGGTTTGTGTCCTCTTTTATGCTCATCCTACTTTGAACTGTAGGAACACAGAGGCTGAAGCACAACTTATAAACATTTTTCTAAAGGAACCCTCATCTACCCCATTTGGACCAGAGGCAGGAATTTTAAAGGACTGTTTCCTACTCGTGGATGGTCCTCCAGAAGTGAACCCTCAGAAGACAGGCTCACTCCAGCCTGGCTGTGAATGTTGAGTGGGGGGGGCAGCAGCCGTTCCTCTGCAGTCTCTGTCTGTTCTTGGGTCTCTGCTGTTGGAGAGATGGAACTTCACACAGGAGTGATTGCCCACCCCTGGGGAGGTCACTCATACTGACAGGAGGTGCTGGAGTTGTATAAATACCTCTGATCAAAGCCTAAAAACAAATTACCAGAATTTTACTCCTAGCTTTTAAAGGAAACAATAAAGGAGCACGATGATTATAACAAGACAAAAGGCAGGTAAAAATCTGTAGTCTTCCAGTAGCTCTTTCACTAGAATTGGTATATGAAGTTTATTTTGCAATCTGAATGTTTCAAAAGAGATTTGATCCTGATACATTGTATTTCAGATTCAATTGCAGATACTTTGGTAAGGATGAGGGGAGGATGTTTTCAAGTAGAATTTAAATCAAGTTTGATTTTATAGTCATAGGGAAGTCAGTTGGTGTTCTTGAGCTCACTAAGGAAGTCAGTTGGTGTTCTTGAGCTCACTAATATAATCTGCTTCAACTACTACCTAAAAGGGAAACTGTAGCCAGTCTTCATTGCTTCTAAAGTGCATGATGGAAAACATTTAATTATTTATTTAAATTAGGTATATATGATAGCAGAATGCATTTTGATTCATTGTACACGGTTGCAGCACAACTTTTCATTTCTCTGGTTGTACAATGGGAAATTGATTTCTAATCTAGAAGCTCCTTGTACTGTTTGATAGTGGCATTTACCACAACCTCATTTTTTAAAGATTTTTATTTATTTTTATGTGGTGCTAAGGATCAAACCCTTACATGTGCTAAGTAAGCACTGTTCCACTGAGCTACAACCCCAGCCGCATCATTTTTATACTCTCTAAAACCAGAATTCTTTCTAAAAATGAGATTGCTTAACTTTTCACTTATACATTCTTGAATATTTTGATGTTGAGCCAGTATAATTTAATTTTCTGTCTCTCCTTCACTGGGCCATCAAAGTTAAAGAAAACTGAGCACTCAAATGGGAGAGCTGCTGGTTTCATGGGGAATACCACTGCTGGGGCTGAGCGGGGAAACCCCATGATTTATTCCTCTCTGCTCACAAGCTCAGTCATTGGGATTTCATTATTTTTAAATAATCATATGTATATATACACATACATATTTGTGACTTTAAAAACCCTCATTGCATGCCTAGTATATGCCATGAACTATTCAAGGTATTAGGTATTTTCTCATTTAAATTCATCCTGGTGACCTTGTGAGGCAGGTGGTACCATCCACACAAGAAGTGAGTGGGATTATGTCAGGTGACTTGCAAGTGGTAAGTGGTAAACTGACCCACAGTAGCCCGCTGTCCTGCTTGTTGAATAAATTGAAAAAGAGGTCTAAAGGGCCTTGGAGCCTGTGGAATGTTCTGACTCCAAAGTCTGTGTTAGGTAATGCCTGAGATATAAAAAGAGAACAGTTCTACTTTGGCTCAGTTATAGAGATTCCAGTCCATGGTTGATTGGCTGATAGCTTTGGGGCCTGCAGGGAGGCAGCATGTCATGGCAGGAGCACCGTGGAAGAGCATCACTCACCTTGTGGCCCAGAAGCAAAAAGAGGAATAGATAGGGATTTCCAGTGAACTGAGTCACCACCACCTTCCAATAACAAAGAAGGCTGGAGACAAAGACTTAATAAAAGGTGAGGGTGTCATTCTAGGTCCAACCAAAGGCAGGAATGTTCTGACTCCAAAGGCAAACCATTCAGAAAGCTGCATTCATAGGCAGCGCTGCTGACCAAGGTGTGCTTAAACTAGTGAACAAGGGATGTGACAGCTGGATGTCATACATTGTTCTCACATAGTGCACTCATTCTTTTTGGATACAAGCGCACACTTATTGGAAAGGTGATGATTAAACTCGGGCCCACACATTGAAGGTATGCTACACATCATAAGATATTTGTGTGCTCATGGCTGGGAAAAAGCTGCAAGCCAAGACAGTCCGGAGCAAGGGCTTTGTTCAAACACCCTTATCTAGGAGAGGAGGTCTAGTCCAGGCCCAAGCACCCCCTAGGCTTCACCTTGGTTCCTTTCACTCACCGGGGTTCCTCCTTCCTGCCCAGTGAAAGCACCGAATGGAGTGTGGGCAGCTTCCCTGGCAACAGAAAACAAAGATGACATTGATGCACAAATAACCCATCTCTGCCTCACAGAACTTAATATCGATCTCAAAAACAGTGGTAAGTTTGTGGGGTTACAGAAACATTTGCTTAGATAAAAATATTTCCTCTTAGCGTTTATTGACCAATTTAGCACAAATCAATACTGCTACACTCCCTCAAGTGCACCTTCCTTTCACCCCCGCCCGCGATAACTAACCAGTTTGCAGTTCAGTGTTAACCACCTCTACTTCTTACAAATACATCAATAGGCTTTATTCAAATTTAGGATACTGTATAATTAACCAGCATGTGGATTTTCCCCGCCTTTGGTACACGGATTGAACTCAGGGGTGGGTACTCGGCCACTGAGTCAGATCCCCAGTCCTATTTTGTATTTTACTTAGGGACGGGGTCTCACTGAGTTGATTAGCGCCTCGCCTACTGAAACTGGCTTTGAACTCCTGTCTCTGCCTCCTAAACCCCTGGGATTACAGGCATGTGCCACCGCGCCCTGCTCAGTGGATTTTTAAAAGTGTACCACCCTTCCAGGTCAATACCTCCAGCCCTGAGGTTCTTTCTAACGTTTGCATGAAGATCCTAGGATTAACCTTGTCTCCGTCGCAGGACGCTTGTGTCTGTACAAGCTAATTTTCAACCTTGTGCCTTCAGAAGTTGCAACGGCACTGAGCGCATAGGCAAGGTTTGGCTAGACGTCGAGAGAAGCGGACTAGCGGGAGGAGAGAACCAACGGCAAGCAGCCCTCGGTGGCAGGACGCGGAGATAGCCCCAGCGGCTGGAGCTCGACCCACGCGGGCCGGCGCGTGCGCGGGCGGGAC